CTCACCCCTCCACTCACCCCCCATTCATCTTTGAATCTCGTGTGTATGTGCCGCACTGAACTTTATTTCTCTGTGGTGTGTGGTGTGATGTGTGGTGTGTGATGTGTGTGTGATGTGTGGTGTGTGATGTGTGGTGTGTGGCGTGTTCTGTGTGATGTGATATGATGTTCCCAGTCTTGGCTGGGTCTGCGTGGATTGATTCACCGTCCAGGTCTGCGTGGATTGATTCACCGTCCAGGTCTGCGTCGATTGATTCACCGTCCAGGTCTGCGTCGATTGATTCACCGTCCAGGTCTGCGTCGATTGATTCACCGTCCAGGTCTGCGTCGATTGATTCACCTTCCAGGTCTGCGTCGATTGATTCACCTTCCAGGTCTGCGTCGATTGATTCACCTTCCAGGTCTGCGTCGATTGATTCACCTTCCAGCTGTGCTCCAAGTATTTGTCGTTTGATATTACTGTACCAGAGTGTGTTGCCAGGTTGGCTCACTGTCGTTTAGGACCAAATCTAATGCTGCTCATCAACACAGTTGACCTTACACTGGCATCCTGACCTTACACTGGCATCCTGACCTTACACTGGCATCCTGATGAAATGTCGGAATATTTGGACAGGGAGAAAAGTGAATTAGAATTTGTCCGGTACCAGGAATCAGCGGTCTCTCCATCTCTCCGTTGGGAGTGGCTGTTCAGTTTTGTGGAAATAGCCTTAGAATAGATCTACTTTCTTCTCGATATCTACATGTCATGTTTATGAACGTTTCTGCTATTGGTGGGATGGGGTGGGGTGGGATGGGCTGACAGGTCAGGCTTGTCTGTGGGGTACCTGGTACCGGTAACTAAATAATGAAACGTTAAGTTCCAAGCCTAGATCTAGATCTGTGTGACGGCTTAAAGTAAACACCATCGAGGTTACTGGTTAGTTGACGAGAATTTTATGTAAATATTCCTAGTTCCGATGACCTAGTTATATGTTGTAATGATTTATGGAAACACTTGTGTCTGTACCACTGTGTGTAACTTTGTTTGTTTGTTTGTTCTTTGTGAGTTCCTCTTCCAGCATTCCAGCCAGGGCCGTCGGCCGGGAGCAGTTCTGCACATTTCTCTGATTTGGACATGATGGAGCAGTTCTGCACATTTCTCTGATTTGGACATGATGGAGCAGTTCTGCACATTTCTCTGATTTGGACATGATGGAGCAGTTC